AAGTTGACTGAATTTCAACACCACAGATCTCTTTCGAGGTAATCATGATGCCTGATGAATCGGCAATACCAGCCATTGAAGCTGAAAAAGATGGTGAATTGTTGATTTCTTTGCCAGTCGCTTGACAATACTTACCCCAACAGGAATGTTCAACTTATTGAGACGATTTATCTCAGTAATCAATTGTTTTTCCATTGCCTCAAAGAGTCTAATTGTTAACCTTTTATTATTTAAATTCACTTGACTTACCACTTTGTGTTTGAAATTTTCCTTGTTTTTCCATAGTTTAGCTATTGCAGGTTGAGTTACACGATATTTACGTGCAAGTTCAATTTGTTTTGAGCCATTTTGTAATTCACTTATTATTTTTAATTTGGTTGAAAACGACAATCTGACCATGTTGAATGTTTTACTAAAAATGCCATTCTTCATATTTTCATAGTTTATATCTCTAAGTTAACCCACTTAGTAAGTTAACCAGTTTACCCATTGAGTTAAAACGCTTACCAAAAAATATAACTTAAGCGAGGATATAACTTAAGCGAGGACGCACTGTATATATAATGGCCTTCGGCATCGATAACTCTTTGCCATCTTTCCGGTAAACAACCTGTTGCGTCCATTCGACCGTTTTCATTGAGATCGCGTACTACCGCTGCCAGAGCCTTTTCGAACTCAGCCCAGTTTTCATATTTACGAAATGTAGGGCTACGAAGCCTATTCTTTAACATAGCGAAGCATCTGTAATCTAAAGGGCTGGTGTCCGGGCATAGGGCGGGTGGGGCCAAAGGCTAATTTTTTGTTCCTCCAAATATTCTCGAACCAACTGATGTTTATGTGGGCGGGCATTATCATGGTGTAACCACAGGTGAGAGGTATCACGTCGACCAAGCCACTTCTTGATATTGTGCTTTAGCAAGTCTCGTTAGACTTGTCTATTTACTGTCGTTTTTTCTGGCAGCAGCTCATAGAATGCAATACCAGTAAAAGACATCGCCATAATAAGCATTCGCTTTTCTGTGTGGATGTTTTGAACTGGAACAGAAGGGCCTGGTTCATTCGCTTATCGCCATGTCCGCATCTGATTCCTATTGGGGACCTTGCAAGGAAACCCATGTTTCATCTATACTTATACTACTAAGCTTCTTCATTTTGAATGAATGGCGAACGATCTCGGCAACTGTCGGTTTAAAGATAACCTGCTCGCTAAGGCTCTTGTAGACCAATGTCGATCCTCGTCCAATAGGTTCTTAACAGCTTCAATTCTTTCTGATCGTATTTCAGCATCAGATCGATCACCACAACGACGCTCCGATGTGTCAAAATCACCTTTATTGAATTTGGTAATCCATTTTTCAACACTTGATTTAAAAAAATAGCTTTGGTTCCTAAAGCTTCTACCAAATTTTGGTGAATTATGTACGAAGAATGGCCTAGAAGCCACGAAATTTTGATATATTCTCGCTGGGAGATGGCACTTATTGAATTAATGGCCCTTGAATTGAGATCCATGATGACTAGTGACAAACTAACTTTTTTATGTAATCTGAAGTTTTATGCATAATTGAGCCAATTTTTAAGTTTCTTGCATCATTACAAAAAAGTAATTAAAAGCCAAAGTTTCCCCATTTTGCACCGGGCAACCTAATACCTGGTAGCTGCGATGAACGAACCAAATTCACGTAGGGTTACAGTTAACACAATTTTCAGGTGTCACTTTTGCGGCCTTTTTTGTTTAAGAGTCATTCATATGAAAGTAATGAGATGAAGAATCTTCAAGATAGATAATTGCAGAACCTGTAATCTCGTCCTGTATTTTCTTTTCAAAATTTTGCCTCATTATCAATCTTATCTCCAAAATAAACTCCAATTGTTTTGACTCAATCATCTGACTTATCTGATTTCATCTAATTAAGTTCAGTAAGCACTCATCGATTCCTTGGAATTGCCTGTAGCAAAAGTACCTAGAAAACAAGGTTTTTTTTCATGAAATCAGATAAGAGGTTTCATTGTTTCTATTACGTATTGTGATATTGATTGTTAATTTTGTTGTGATGAATCTGTTAATTTAATCTTTATCGAATAATATAAAAGCGTGTAAAACTCGAATAGTTTTTATTCAGTTTTGTATGTTCATTAAAAATTGTGTGATTCCAATAATCCAACTAAAATAAAAGTAAAATGAAGTTCTTGATCGTTTTAAGTGCCATCTTTTGTCTCTCAGCCATCAGAGCTGCTCCAACCGAAGGTAAGGCTTTTCCTAACCTAATCTTAACCCAGTTTTGTCAATGTCTCGTCCTACTGTTTTTACAGAACCAACTCCACTTGCTAAAGCCGCTGTCGAATTTAATCGGAGATTCGTTAATGAATGGGAAAAAACGGTTCCTGGTTAGTTAATAATTAAATTTTTTCTTAATAATATTTAAAACTTTAAATTGTCAATTTATTGATCATTCTCAGGTTGGGATTCAAAAGCTTCACTTCGATCAAATCTTTTGGCTCTTCTCTCAAAACCTTTTGACAACAAACTGGTTCCTGGTGAGTTTATTATTGACTTGATTTGTTCAATCACGAATGCTTACTTTTATGTTTAAATTATTATCATATATCAGCATGGAATCCTGATGTCAGTGCCAAGGAAAACTTCGAAAGGTACATTGTTCTTCTTGATGTCGAAGGTAAATATTTTCATTTAATATGGTTTATTTGATTAGAACAATATTGTTTAATTACATTTTTAGGTTTAGCTAGAAATAAGTCTGTTGTTGATAATATGGCGCTGATTGTTCAAAAGTATTTCGATAAACTGCCAATTCCAAGTAAGTATTGATAATTGGATATAACTTCAGTTTAATCTTGTTAATATTTTTATTTTTCATTATTCATCTACAAATGATCAGTGTTTTTCCCAAAAAATGAACTCGAAGAAAAGATCGTCGATCAAGTGATGAAATTTGTCACAGAACAGCATTTTGGATGTAAGTGAATTGTTTTAAGAAAATTTATCATAATTTTTTTACTAATATAATAATTGCTCTGTTTCCAATAGTCGACTACAACAAAGAGACTTTTGATCAAGCTGTTAATGCTTGGCTCAACAGTCTTGCTGATATTAAAAGTAAGTATTAAATTATATTGTGATAGTGTAATATTTTCTTAATTTGACTAATTAATTGAACCTTTTCATGATCAATACCAGTTTCGGATCCTAAAGACTTCATCAAAAGCAATTTAGAGCAACTTTATGCCGCAATTCCTTTTCCTGGCTTCAATGCTGACAAAACTTTGGAGGATAATTTTGTTGCATTGACCGAATTTATTTTGGAAAAAATTGACATTTGAATTTTCATGTCCACATGAAATATTAAAAATAATGATTCAATAAATATTATATAATTTAGCATACAATAAATATAATAGAAAAATGTTGTTCAATCGCTGATGTTCACCAAAAATTTTATAGACGCACTAAGTTTAACCGAAAATCGAAGTCATCTGTTTTGCGGAAATTTCATTTATCAATATAAGTTCATTTTCTGGTAATCATCAAATTTTTAATCTGCTTCCATAATTGTACAAAAAGCAATCCAAGTTGCAACTTTGGACTTTAATTTGTCGAAAACTGTCGATCAAAGAAATTTATTAATAATAGCACCTACGGATTAAGTTTTCAAGTTAAATAAACAGAATCTTGATTTGAAAGAAATTAATTTTTACTCATTTTTGTCAATTTGTAAATATCATAAATGTGACGATTGTGTCTTTTAGTAAAAACTCTTTTATTGAAGATTATTGAATGATTAATCATCAATTCTTTCCGTTGGCTTATTCAGCTTTACATAATTTCCGGAATTGCTAGATTGACTTGATTTTGCTGATTATGGTGCTTAAATGCTTCTGTTTCAATGTAAATCGAATTAAATTTGACATTGAATCAAGTTAATTGTTAAAAATTAAAATTATAAGTTAAGTAAAAGCAGCTGCAACCAGTCTTAAGCTGAACCAGAGTAAGTGGCTTTGCTCGGAAAATAGACTTTACGGACCTTTCCCCTGACTTACCCAAATAAAATCTTTTGATTAGCTAAGCTTTTTAGCTATTTACCAAGCTTTCTTTGATTTTTTCATATTTTTATTGACCCAGTCTTTTCTAATTCAAGAAAATAGTTTCTACTGAATTTTCACTGATTTGGCTGGGTGTTTGGTCCATCAGAAAACCATCAAAAAAATCAAAAACTAATTCAATTCAAATTTAAACTCGGCTCAACTAAACCACGTTTTTAAATCAATGAAAGCGCAAGACAGTAATCTTAATAAAAATATGAGTTCGGAAAAGCTAAAATGTGACGTAGTAAAAACGTCACACTTTTGTTCACTCTTATCTTTTTTATTCACATTTATCTCTTTTTATCTCAATAATTTTCTTGATCGGATTCATCCTTAGTTGAATTGTGCCTAGAGAGGCGCCTATAGGTCATGTTCATTGATTGTTCAGTTATTGTTGTTATTAGTTAATAAATTAAAATGGGTAGAAATAGTGCTTTGCATGACATCCAAAAAAGTCAAATCACAGCTTTTAATCGTGAAAATAAATCTTGAAGGTATATTGCTGATCGAATAAAACGATCACAAAAGGTTGTTCATAATTATATATAAAGCCCAGGAAGACCGAAATCATTGAGTGAAAGAGATTTTCGTTAAGATTTTAGACTTACGTATGAGGAAAACAAATCATGTGGTGAAGTGAACATATTAATAACATAATAACTATCGGATTACAAGTTCGGATTACGGATTAACAATAATATTAGTAATTTATATGTTAGATATACAGGAGATATTCATGGATAAGACCCGTTGGGACTGTCATTCTTATCGAATCATATCTACTCTTTTTTTCGCTTTGATCGACAATAGATGGATGCGAGTGCGATTTAAAATGATTGGATATCGCTACAGTTCAGAGTTCAGGGGCCAAAAACTTCACAATTGGCGCAATAGGACCGTTCTTCGTAACGTTTGTTGTTATGTTTAGAGTGGTTTGTTGAATTAGCTAATGAGTTATTCTTTTGGGTCGGACATCGGCCGGTTATCCCCACTTGCTTTGAGCAATTCATGAATACGTCTTCCCAGTCAAGTGATGATTTCAGTCTTACGATGAAGTTCTTCAGTTAATTGCATTTCTTTATTAATCAAAGTCACTTCCTTGGCTTCCTTATCCTGGATCAATTTTTCATCTTCACCATTCCAGAATTCACCTCTTTACGGGCTTCTTCACGTTCAAGCTTATCTCTTAAAGAGTTGAGATCACCTTCTAATTTCCTTCTTTCATCTTCACTTTTGTGTAACTTATCCATTAATATATTCAATTGACCGCTATCGTCTCCTGTTCGTTTAAGAATCTTATCCATATTGTCTTGAAGTTTCTTGGATTCTACGTTCATTCGGTTCAAATCTTCTTTCATTTAACCATTATATCTTGGTTTTTTTAATTTCAAATTGAGTTCATCGATAGTCTCAAGATAGCGAGTCTGACTTTGGTCACATATATTAGCTGCTAGTCATCCCAAAACCTAATCGGGTTGATCGATGGGAAGTAGTACTGTTGATAGATGCAAGAGGTTCTCGACTGTCACCCATTCCGCTGTGTTTAGAGGTAGTTAAATTACTTGGCCGTCTAACCATACTAATGTTAGTTCTTGCTTGAGCAGCTGCATTGCCACTAACCATATCTCTTACAACTTTATTGAGAGGAGTGAATAAACCGTGGTCTGGTGGACATTGAAAATATCTTTTCCAAGCAACAGAGCCATCATTTTTACCAGACGCATCCGATAGTTCAATACCAGCAGCAAAATCAGTTGATCCTAAATACCGAAGAGTACCTCGTTTTAATCCACAGCTAGCATGAACCATAACTTTATCACCAACTTTTAGATTCGAGGCTGATGAAGATGTGGTTCTTGATGAAGCGAAAGTGGTGCTTGTTACACTGGTTATGAGGTTAGTTGGTGATTTGAAGCCATCACTGATTGGAGATGGCGATGTTACGGTGGACGATGGTTTCTCTGGAGGAGTAATAGGCTCTAAAGTTAAACACTGTGAACGGACAAATAGCCCATGTTTAGGTTCACAAGTAAAATATTTAACTCCATTAACAGATCCATCATTTTTACCAGAAGCATCAGCTAATTCAACTCCAGCCCATTTACCAGGAGCAAAACTTGTACTACCAAGGAATTTGATAATACCAGATTTTGTTCCATTAACGTAAATACAGTCACCAACAGTTAGATCATCAGAATCCATCAAAATTTCTGTTGACACAGGCACCGATTTGGTAGCTGACATAATTTTATCACTAGTTATCGAAGAGAGACTCGATGTCCTTGAATGCATCTTTGGTAGACTTGAATTAGTCATAGACGATGGAGGTCTAACTTTTAACAAATCACTATTTGATGGGTCAGAAAGTTGTTCAGCACTCGGAGTGCAACTTGATGTGTTGATATTACTAATAAATGCAGCAGGATAACACAAGATCGTAGATTAATGAAGAAAGGTAAACAGAATGAGCAAAAGTGAAAGAATTAAATTACTCATTTCACAAGAAATATGAGAGAAAATTGATAATCTCAACCGTTCACTGCTTAATGTCTCTATGCAAAAAAATCGGTTGGCTTCTGCAAAATCTGCAGTTTCCCTCTGAATTTTGAAACTATACACTATAAAGAAAATGGAGTTAATTTTTGACATCAGCAAGCAGCTCTATATAGACCTGCTTGAAAAAACAGGGCACTTTTGCAATCCTTTTGATTTTCTTGATTAAATTCAACCGCGAACAGTGCATTGAAAAGAAATGCGAAAATCAAGAATTTTTATTTATATATTAATATTAATATATCGCGCCTGCAAAATTTCAGGGATGGTTTTAGGCCCTCGAAGTGTAATTGATTTCGTTATTGTCTCCACCAACGGCTCATTTAACAGAAGCAAGAAATCCTTTTTGACTTTTCTGGCTAAAAGTCTCATCTGTTCAATTTTAACCATCAACCTGTAATGATTGTCTGAAGCCTCACAATCAGATTCACAAATTGTCCTCAAATAACGGCGAAGTAAATATATGTATGAGAATTGTTCATATCTGTGAAATATGTAAAAATGTTAAACTTATATTATTAAATACGAATAGACATGAACTCAATGAGTATTACATTATAAACAAACCTGATCATTTCGGTATGTTTCAATCCAGATATGTCACCGTTGAAAATAATGATTAGATACATGAGAATAATGACATTTGTATCGTTTCTGAATCGATCGGGAAAGGTTTCGATTACATAAACCATTTCGTCGTGTAAGAACTGGTTGAAAAGAAATGTATCTCGTCGATCAGATTTGAAATCATATGCTGGAGCCTGCGATTGAAAAAGCAACAGATGAAGGAATTAATATTATACAATATGCATGAAAAAATGGTCAAGTTTATTATAGCTACTTACATCCCAGCCGTCAATTATTGGATCGTAGTTAAAAATACCTTCCATTAAGTGAAGATGATTATATATGTTGGATAAAAGAACTGTTTTATCATTGGTTTCGATTTTTCTGAAGCCTTTGATTTCATTACATATTGAAATGAGCTTATCTGGACTTGCTTTTGCTCGCTTCCTGTCATTTAAATTTGAAAATAAATTCAAGTGTTTCTGACTTTTAAAAGCGGCATATGCTTCTTCCATTAATAGTGATTGAAATCCATCTAGTTTCACATCATTGGATAAATATTCACTTCTTAAACTTAATGAAGAGAAATAAACAGACAAGATTTTTTGACTAACATCAGGATTCCAGGGTTCATCAACTTCACTGTTATCCGTGTTTAGTGACAAGGTCAATTTGTATCCACGTTTAAGGAGAGAGATAAAATTCAGTTTTAAATTATCGTAAGTGTTGTGAATCTTGGACTGGTAAAGAGACTCGACGGCCAGTGGATCAGTAGATATGTATGATGAGATAGGAGTTGCAACTGGAGCTGTTTAATGGGACGGGTAATGATAAGAGATACCTTGAAACTTAAAATTATCTTTCTTAACACAAACTTACATAGGTCCTCAATAGCATCCAAGCTATTGAATGGGTTGTTGGAGTCATTAAAGTTGTAACAATTTTCTGTTAAAGAGCTATGAGTTCCTATTGGTGAACTAAGAAATTGTTGTCCTGCATTGTTATGATTATTCACTTGATCATCAGCTATTAAGTAACTTTTAACAGTATCTTCATCGGAACAAACAGCTTTCAAAAGAGCTAAGCTTTGGTTTGAACATGAAGGTTGAGGTAATGGTTGAACAGCTAAGGTGTCACATTGCGAGGCAATATCTGTATCCAGTGTTGATTCATCTGTAGATGATTAAAGGAATAAAAAATTATCAAAATCCATCTTCTCATATCAATAATAAACACAGAAACATGGAAAGGGCCATGAGAAGCAATCTTGAATAGTAAAACAATACGTTAACTCACCCAGATTTTCAATAGCATACAAGTTATCGGACGGGTTAGTCCAATCATTAGAACTGGGCCGATTTTCTATTGATGAATCAAAAAATTGTTGTCCTACATTGTTATTCGATTGATTGCCATCAAGTAAATAACTTTTAACAGTATTTTCATCGGAACAAAAAGCGTTTAAAAGAGCCAGACTTTGGTTTAAACATGAAGGTTGAGGTAATGGTTGAGCAGCTAAAGTGTCCCATTGCGTAGTATAATCTGTATCCAGTGTTTGTGAATTAAAAGATGATTGAAAGAATGATATAAATTGATCGTAATCCATTGCTGCACAATGATAATCTCAAACACTTAAAAATTATACGAAAACGTTAATGGCTAACGCATCACAGATGATTCTTTTGCTTTGCAAAATTGTTAGACAAATATTTCTTTGCTAATGCTTTTCTAATGCTATCATACATGTATAATGTTTGCGTTACAATTATTATTAAAATATTATCTCTTAGTGATAAAATGGTAGATTAGGTTGAAATCTGCTTCATTTTTGCCTCATTATATTGTAGAGAACTGTTTGCATACCTGTCGTGAAATAATTTTTAGTTAATGTCCTTGTGTCTATGTGAAATTCATTTGCTGAAAGTGTTGGTTTGAGGCAAACGTTTTTATTGAAACCAAAAGAAAAGGTTATAACAAGTTAATTCTTATTGAGCTACAACACAACTGTTAAGGTTAACTCTCTTTTTTAGTAAAGATTCAAAGGAAAATAGCCAAATCGACCCATAATTCAGAATGGTAAAACAATCGAAAGCTTTTGATGACTAAATTAGAGAATGCCTCTCTAAAAATCAATACCTAGAGAGTTATTAAACAAATTCCTTGTGACCCAATGAAGGTCACATCAGGCCTAACTTTTCAGATAAAAATCTCATTCTGAGTGATTCTATTCCGATTATGTCTTATGAGAACATAAAACAAGAAAAATACTTGGGAAAAAACAAACTCCAAAACACTGAAAAACTCTACTAAAGGGTCCATTTCACAAGAAATATGAGAAAAAAATTGATAATCTCAACTAAATACTGCTTAATGCCTCTATGCAAAAATCGTTTGGCTATTGTCCTGCATTTTTCCTCTATATTTTGGAAACTACACACTTTAAAGATAAATTAATTTCTGAAATCAGCATGCAGCACTGCATTAGAATCTGTTTAAAAAATTATGAGAATAGGCCATTTTCCATATCCACATAATTCTCTTGATTTAATCAAGCAGGAAGGTAGGTAGGATCTTAAAGGAAGCGTTAATGTACAATTTTTACAATATATTTCAGCTAAAATATTTGCGGGAGGATTTTAAGTACTCCAGTGTAATAGCTTTTGTTATTGTTTCCACCAAAGGCTCATTTATTAGAAGAAAAAATTTCTTCTCAGATTTTGCAGCTATAAGTCTCAACTGTTCAATTTTAGCCATCAACCGATAATGATTGTCTGAAGCTTCACAATCGGATTCACAAACGGTTCGCAGGTAACATCTAAGTAAATTAATATATGAGAATTGTTGATATCTGTAAAAAGATGTAAAAATGTCAAACTTACATGAACCAAAAAAGACATTCATCGAAAGAGTAATATCAATTTGAACAAACCTGATCATTTCGGGATGTTTCAATCCGGTTATGTCAGCATTGAAAATAATGATTAGATACACGAGAATAATGGCATTTATATCGTTTCTGAATCGATCGGGTAAGGTTTCGATTACGTAAACAAGTCCATCATGGAAAGATTTGCTGAAGAGAAACGTGTCTCGTCGATCATATTTGACGTCAGATGCTGGATACTTTGATAAAAAAGCAACCGATTAATGAATTAATACAATATCAATAAAGAAATGTTCAATATTATCATCGATACTTACATCCCAGCCGTCAATTGTCGGATCGTAGTTAATAACACCGTCCATTATGTGAAGATGATAATATATGTTGGATAGCAGAATCATTTTATCGATGGTTTCAATTTTTCTGAAGCCATTGATTCCATTACATATTGAAATGAGTTTATCTGGACTTGCTTTTGCTCGCCTCCTGTCATCTATATTTGCAAATAAATTCAAGCATTTCCTACCCTTAAATGCGGAACTCGCTTCATTCATTAATAGTGATTGAAATCCATCTAGTTTCGCATCATTGGACAAGTATTCATTGCTCAAACTCAATGAAGAAAAATAAGCAGACAGTATTTTTTGACCAACATCAGGATTCCATGGCTCATCAATTTCACTATTATCCGTGTTTAATGACAAGCTCAATTTGTATCCATGTTTAATGAGAAATATAAAATTCAATTTTATATCATTGTAATTGTGGTGCTGGTGAAGAGACTCGATGGCCAGTGGATCAGTAGATTCGTATGATGAGATAGAAGTTGGAACTGGAGCTGGTTATTAATGAAATGTGTCATGATAAGAGATAATCTTAAAAATTAACCTTAGCAAGATGAACTTACATAGGTTTTCAATAATACTCATGCGATCGGAGGATACGATGTTTGTGTCAGTAAAGTTTGACCAATTTTGAATGCAAGAATCAAGATTTCCTATTAGTGAAGTGAAAAATTGTTGTCCTTCATTGTTGTAGTTATTCAAATCATCATTTTGTAGATAAATTTTAACAGTATTTTCATCGGAGCAAAAAGCTTTCAAAAGAGCTAGACTTCGTTTTGGATATGAAGGTTTAGGTAATGGTTGAACAGCTAAAGTATTACATTGTGAAGAATGATTTGTATCCAATGTTGACGAATCTAAAAATGATACAAAAGTAAAATAATTAAATTGTTTGATAAAAAATCCATCTTTTGGCATTCATAATAATCTCAAAATCATGGAAAGGGTCACATGACTTACTTATGCTTTCAATAGTGTACAAGCTATCTGATGGGTTGTTGCAATTATTAGAGCTGAACCAATTCTCTATTGATGAATCAAAAAACTGTTGCCCTTCATTGCTTTGATTATTAAATTCACCAATATCAAGTAAGTTACTTTCAACAGTATCTGCATCGGAACAAAAAGTGTCTAAAAGGGAAAGAGTTTGCAAAGGGCAAGAAGGCTGAGGTAATGGTGGAACAGCTGAAGTGTCACTTTGTAAAGCACAATCTCTATCCAGTGTTGATGAATCTAATGATTCAAGATATGAAATTATTTGTGCCAAATCCATCTTTGCACATCAATAATAAACTCAACACTTAAATGAAGCATCAGAAAACATTAGTCTAATGAATCACAGATGAATTTCTTTACTCTGAAAAATTGTTAGGTAAACATATTCCATCATGTAATGTAATGCTATCTATCATTGTTTGCGATACAATTATTATTTTATCTTATTTTATCATACAAGGCTATTCAACTTCATTTACTTCACGTTTTGTTTAATATCTCACGAACCCAATAAAGTAACCTGGTAGATGATGGAACTCACTGAAAATAGCTTATTTTCACTATTTGTCAGTCAGCATGATTGATAAGCTCTCTAAATAGATCGAATTTAACCGTAAATATTAATATTTTTGACTTTTTTATGCATATTTTCGAAAGAAAATTTAACTTACAAGGGAGGTGACCTTGCTTGTACAATTTTTTTCATTTTTTTCGTAGAGGTCTATATTGTAGGTCGAAAAATAATTAGACACGTATTTTTTTACGCTGGTGCGCGGTTATTGATATTTAGGCATTTTAATCAAAGGTAGTAATGCGTTGCAGTCAATGAGAAGCACATAAAACAAATGAAAAACAGAAAAATGAAAAAGAATGTTAGCCATTGGTTGATAAAATTGATAATTAAAGAAATCAAGACAAAAATTGGTGCGATTCAAATTGAATTAGCTATTTTCTGACTCGGGATTGTTGATGAAACTAGTTCCGTTATCTGGTAGTCCCATTATTTTCCAGGTTACTGAATGCTAGGCTCGTCATATAGACACTGCGTGCTCTGCAAAATTGGAGAGCCATACATGCTAAGCCTCAAGGTCATTTGTCTAGAAGACCTTGAGACGAATTCAACGCCATTTTTAGATAAAAAAATTAATTTAGCGCCATATGATTTCGCAGTCAAAGTCATAGCTTGCCTAATTATACGTTATTCACATTTTCAAAAATTATTTCAGTTAAAATCTGAATTTTTATTTTTAGTATTGGGCTCAATGGAAGAAATATCCAACTTTGAGCCTTAATTTGGGAATGAGAACAGCGAGCAAAATCATAATCCGATACATCATTAGAAATGAAACTTTTTGAAGCTTAATCAAAATTGATCTGAAAATTCGTGCAGCAAAATCTACCACTTTTTCGACTTTGGTAACAAACCTTTACATAATAGGTACTTAAAATTGAAACCAAAATAGCGCCACACAAAATTTTGACATTTTTTCTATCGAATGACATATCGGGTCAAATTTCTGTCTAGAGCCATTGCTGAGCAATTGGCCTCTGAATGTTGATATATTATCATTTATACACCCAGTAGTTATTCTCCAACATAACCATACCCTTAACCATCTACTACCTCTATACTCGCTTGAAGCTTAGTATTTAAAAGAAACGTTAAAAATTGTGAAGAGTATTCTGGTAATCAACGATCAAATAGCTCGTTACAAACTTTATTTCAAATCAATCCTTAACTCGCACATCACAACATAAAAGAGAGGGAAAATTGAAAAGAGTTAAGTTAGCGAAAGGGAAGTGACCACATCACGATTGATTTGTGTTGTGATTTAGCTTGTACCATCTTAGTTAGCAAAAAGATAGAGATCAAGCGTGCCAAAAATCATCGAATCAGTTTGTTTTAGCTAAAGCTCAAAACTTCGGTCATAAGACTCATAGATAAACAACCCTACAACCCGAACTCTGCGACAATATTGAAAATTGGGTAAAACTTATGAAGCATTCATACGGCTGCATCTTACATAAATCATAAGACGTGGCTCGGAGTTTATTAGATAAATGACTGTGGCGTTTAAATTTAGAAATAGTTTTCCCACCCAGACTTTTATCTATTTTTGATTTCTTGACAAGCAAATGTGAGAGAAGTAAAAAGTCAACCGGATATAAGGAGACTTATAAGGATAACTTCTTCATGCATTTCAAAATATTGATGGCATATTTGTTTCTGTAATTGCTTTTGAAATGGTTTCCTCCATCGGCTCATTTAGTAGCAGAAATAACTCCTTCTTGGCTTTTGCAGTTAAAAGTCTCAACTGCTCAATTTTAGCCATCAACCTGTAATGATTGTCCGAGGCTTCACAATCAGATTCAAAAATTGTCCCCAAATAACGTCGAAGTAAATAAATATACGAGAATTGTTCATGTCTGTGAAAAGATGTAAAAATGTCAAACTTCTATCGAGTGAAAATAACAGATAGACTTATGAAAAACAATTTGAACAAACCTGATTATTTCGGGATGTTTCAATCCAGATATGTCACCATTGAAAATAATGATTAGATACATGAGAATAATGACATTTATATCATTTCTAAATTGATCGGGAAAGGTTTCGATTACATGAACAACGGCATCGTGTGCGAATGGATTAAAGAGAAATGTATCCCGTCGATCAAATTTGAAATCAGATGCTGGAGCCTGGATAACGAGATGAACCAATCAGTTAGTATAAAAGGTATATGAATACAATATGCATTATTAAAAGGTCAAGTGCTAAGGTTACTTACATCCCAGCCGTCAATTGTAGGATCGTAGTTAACAATACCGTCCATTGCGTGAAGATGATAATATATGTTGGATAAAAGAGTTATTTTATCGCTGGTTTCGATTTTTCTGAATCCTTTAATTCCATTACATATTGAAATGAGCTTATCTGGACTTGCTTTTGCTCGCCTCCTGTCATTTAAATTTGCAAGCAAATTCATGCATTTCTGACCCTTAAAAGCGACACAAGCTTCGTCCATTAATAGTGTTTCATATCCATTTAGTTTAGTATCATCAGATAAATATTCAGCTATCAAACTTAATGAAGAAAAGGAAACAGACAGAATTTTTTGACTAACATCAGGATTCCAGGGCTCATCAACTTCACTGTTATCTGTGTTTAGTGATAAGCTCAATTTATATCCACGTTTAACGAGTGCGATAAAATTCAATTTCAGATTATCGTAAGTGTTGTGAATCTTGGACTGGTAAAGAGACTCGACGGCCAGTGGATCAGTAGATATGTATGATGAGATAGGAGTTGCAACTGGAGCTGTTTAATGGGACGGGTAATGATAAGAGATAACCTTAAAATTAACTTTATTAACACAAACTTACATGGGCCTTCAATAGTATTCAAGCTATTGAATGGGTTGCCGGAGTCATTGCATTTGTACCAATTTTCTTTGAAAGAGCTAAGAGTTCCTATTGATGAATGAAGAAATTGTTTCCCTAAATTGTTATGATTATCCAATTGATCGCCATCAAGTAAATAACTTTTAACAGTATCTTCATCGGAACAAAAGGCCTTCAGAAGAGCTAGGCTTTGGTTTGAACATAAAGGTTGAGGTAATGGTTGAGCAGCTAAAGTGTCCCATTGCGATACATAATCTGTATCCAGTGTTGGTGAATTCAAAGACGATTGAAAGAATGAAATAAATTGATCGGAATCCATCGTTGCACAATGATAATCTCAAACACTTAAAAAATATCAGAAAACGTTAATGACTAATGCATCACAGATGATTCTTTTGTTTTAAAAAATTGTTAGGTAAATATTTCTTTTATTCAATCATGCAATGCTATCATATAGTGTTTGCGTTACAATTATTGTTAAAATATTATCTCTTAATGATAAAATGGTAGATTAGGTTAAAATCTGCTCTATTTTTGCCAAATAATATTGCAAGAAACTGTTTGCATACCTGTCGTAGAATAATTTTTAGCTGATGCCCTGGTGTCTATCTGAAATTCATTTATTGAAAGTGTTGGTTCGAGGCGAACGTTTTTATTTAATGCAAAGAAAAGGTTACAAATCGATAACTCTTACATCACAACTGTTGTGTTGAGTTAAGGTTAAAACTCTTTTTAAGTAAAAATTTAAAGCACAATAGCCAATCCCATGATTCAGAATGGTTTTAAACATATATATATCAATCGAAAGCTTATGATAAGTAGAGTAAAAATCAGGTAAAAATTCGCATTACCTAGAGAGTTATTCACAAATCCTATGGAACCCAATACAGGTCCCATCAGACCTAACTTTTCAGATAGAAATTTCATTCTGATTGCTTCTATTACAATTGTGTCTCATGAAGAACGCAAAACAAGAAAAATACTAGGGAAAAAACAAACTCAAAACACTAAAAAACTCTACTAGAAGGTCCATTTCACAAGAAATATGAGAAAAAAATTGATAATCTTAACCAAATACTGATTAAAGTCTCTATGCAAAAATCGTTTGGCTACTGTACAAGCTGAATTTTTCCTCCTAATTTTGGAAACTACACACTTTAAAGATAAATTAATTTATGAAATTAGCATACAGCACTGCATTAGAATCTGTTTAAAAATGAGAATAGACCATTTTTTTAATCCTCATAGTTCTCTTGATTTAATCAAGCAGAATAAACTTAAAGGTAGAGTTAATGTACAATTTTTACAATATATTTCAGCTGAAATATTTGCGGGAGGATTTTAAGTACTCCAGTGTAATAGCTTTTGTTATTGATTCCACCAAAGGCTCATTTATTAGAAGAAAAAATTTCTTCTCAGATTTTGCAGCTATAAGTCTCAACTGTTCAATTTTAGCCATCAGCCTGTAATGATTGTCTGAAGCTTCACAATCAGATTCACAAACGGTTCGCAGGTAACATCGTAGTAAATTAATATATGAGAATTGTTGATATCTGTAAAAAGAGGTAAAAATGTCAAACTTACATGAACCGCAAAAGACATTCAACAAGCTAGTAATATACATTTGAACAAACCTGATCATTTCGGGATGTTTCAATCCGGTTATGTCAGCATTGAAAATAACGATTAGATACATGAGAAGATTGGCATTTATATCGTTTCTGAATCGATCTGGAAAGGTTTCGATTACGTAATTAAGTCCATCATGAAAAGATTGACTGAAGAGAAACGTGTCTCGTCGATCATATCTGTAATCAGATGTTGGATACTTTAATAAAAAACCAACCGATTAAAGGATTAATACAATACCAATAAAGAAATGGTCAAGTGCATTATCGATACTTACATCCCAGCCGTCAATTGTCGGATCGTAGTTAATAACAGCGTCCATAATGTGAAGATGATAATATATGTTGGATAACAGAATCATTTTATCGATGGTTTCAATTTTTCTGAATCCTTTAATTCCATTACATATTGAAATAAGTTTATCTGGACTGGCTTTTGATCGCGTCCTGTCATACAAATTTGCAAATAAGTTCAAGCATTTCCTACCCTTAAATGCGGAACACGCTTCATTCATCAAAATTGATTGAAATCCATCTAGTTTCGCATCATTGGACAAGTATTCATTCCTCAAACTCAATGAAGAAAAATAAGCAGACAGTATTTTTTGACCAACATCAGGATTCCATGGCTCATCAATTTCACTATTATCCGTGTTTAATGACAAGCTCAATTTGTATCCACGTTTAATGAGAAATATAAAATTCAATTTTATATCATTGTAATTGTGGTGCTGGTGAAGAGACTCGACGGCCAGTGGATCAGTAGATAAGTAAGATGAGATAGGAGCTGGAACTGGAGCTGGTTATTAATGAAATGTGTCATGATAAGAGATAGCCTCAAAAATTAACCTTAGCAAGATGAACTTACATAGGTTTTCAAAAATACTCATGCGATCGGAGGGTTTGTTTGGGTCAGTAAAGTTTGACCAATTTTGAACGCAAGAATTAAGATTTCCTATTAGTGAAGCAAAAAATTGTTGTCCTTCATTGTTGTAGTTATTCAAATCATCATTTTGTAGATAAATTTTAACAGTATTTTCATCGGAACAAAAGGCTTTCAAAAGAGCTAGACTTCGTTTTGGATATGAAGGCTTAGGTAATGGTTGAACAGCTAAAGTATCACATTGTGAAGAATGATCTGTATCCAATGTTGACGCATCTGTTATAAAAATGATATAATAATTAAATTGTTTGATAAAAAATCCATCTTTTGGCATTCATAATAATCTCAAAATCATGGAAAGGGTCACATGACTTACTTATGCTTTCAATAGTGTACAAGCTATCTGATGGGTTGTTGCAATCATTAGAGCTGAACCAATTCTCTATTGATGAATCAAAAAACTGTTGCCCTTCATTGCTTTGATTATTGGATTCACCAATATCAAGTAAGTTACTTTGAACAGTATCTGCATCGGAACAAAAAGTGTCTAAAAGGGCAAGAGTTTCGTTCGGATATGAAGGCTGAGGTAATGGTGGAACAGCTGAAGTGTCACTTTGTAAAGCATAATCTGTATTCAGTGTTGGTGAATCTAATGATTCAAGATATGAAATTAAATCCATTTTTGCACACCAATAAATAACTCAACACTTAAATGAAGCATCAAAAAACATTAAAGATCAATTAATCACAGATGAATTTCTTTACTCTGAAAAATTGTTAGGTGAACATTTTCCATCATGTAATGTAATACTATCTATCGTTGTTTGCGATACAATTATTATTTTATCTTATTTTATCATACAAGGCTATTCAGCTTCATTTACTTCACGTTTTGTTTCATATCTCACGAACCCAATAAAGTAACCTGGTAGATAATGGAACTCACTGAAAATAGCTTATTTTCACTATTTGTCAGTCAGCATGATTGATAATGGGGCCAGTTTTTTTCCACCACTTTATCCAGACATTTTCAAACAATTTTTTATAAGATTATCCACCACCCAAATCCAACTGTTGACCACTTTTGGGATATGATGGCGATTAATAGTGGATGTGTTAGATGGTGTAAAAGTGGTCAACAATTTGGTGGATTTGGGTTGCGGATAATCTTATAAAAAATTGTTTGAAAATGTGGTGGAAAAAAGCCCTTCTAAAGTGGTGGATGAAAGTGGGTGACAATTTAGTGAACAATTTTGTTGAGAAAAGTCTCTTTAAAAAGTGATGATGTTTGATTTGGTTGATTTGGTGGATGTGTTAGATTGGGTGTCGGACAATACGGTGAAAAGACGGTAAAAAAAGTAGTAAATAAAAGTGGTGGAAAAAAGCTGGTCCCTTGATAATCTCTCTTGTTAGATCGAATTTAACCGTAAATATTAATATTTTCGGATGGTTTTGTGACGTTTTTATGCATACTTTAAAAGAAAATTTAACTCACAAGGGAAGTGACCTTGCTTGTACGATTGTTCTCAATTTTTTTCGGATTTACGGATTTTGTATATTGTAGAGGTCAAAAAATAATTAGACACGTATTTTTTTCACGTTTGTGCGTGGTTATTGATATCTAGGCATTTTAATCAAAGGTAGTAATGCGTTGCAGTCAATGAGAAGCACATAAGACAAGTGAAAAGCAGAAAAATGAAAAAATTTGTTAGTAAGATATCATTGATTTATAAAATTGATAATTAAAGAAATCAAGACAATTAGTGCGATTTAAATTGAATTAACTATTTTCTGACTCGGGATCATTGATGAAATTAGTTCCGTTATCTGGTAATCCCATTATTTCACAGGTTACTGAATGTTAGGCTAATCATATAGACACTGCGTACTCTACAAAATTGGAGAGCCATACATGCTAAGTCTCAAGGTCATTTGTCTAGAAGACTTTGCGACGAATTTAACGCCATTTTTGGATGAAAAATTTGATTTAGCGCCAGATGATTTCGCAGTCAAAGTCATAGCTTGCCTAATTATACGTTATTCACATTTTCAAAAATTATTTCAGTTCAAATCTGAATTTTTATTTTTAGTATTAGTTTTCAATGGAAGAAATATCCAACTTTGAGCCTGAACTTGAGTATGAAAACATTGTGCAAAATCATAATCCGATCATTAGAAATCGGATGACATATCGGGTCAAATTTCTATTTAGAGCCATTCCTGAGCAATCGGCCTCTGAATGTCGATATATTAGTATTGATAACGATTGATTTGTGTTTAAATTTAGCTTGTATCCTCTTAGCTAACAAAAAGATAGGACTCAAGCGTGTCAAACATCATCGAATCAGTTTGTTGACAGCTCGAAACTTTGGTCATAAGACTCATAGATAAACAACCCTACAACCCGAACTTTGCGACAATATTGAAAATTGGGTAAAACTTATGAAGCATTTATACGGCTGCATCTTAAATAAATCATGCGACGTGGCTCGGACTTAATCAGATAAAGGATTGTGGCGTTTACATTAAGAAACGGTTTGCCCTCCTAGACTTTTATCTATTTTGGATTTCTTGAAAAGTAAATGTAAGCGGAAATCAAAAGTCAACCAGATATAAGGAGACTTATCAGGATACGAATTGAAGTTTGATTTCATTCAACTTCTTCTAGCTCTTCAAAATATTGACGGCATATTTGCTTCTGTAATTGCTTTTGAAATGGTTTCCTCTATCGGCTCATTTAGTAGCAGAAATAACTCCTTCTTGGCTTTTGCAGTTAAAAGTCTCAACTGCTCAATTTTAGCCATCAACCTGTAATGATTGTCCGAGGCTTCACAATCAGATTCAAAAATTGTCCCCAAATAACGTCGAAGTAAATAAATATACGAGAATTGTTCATGTCTGTGAAAGATGTAAAAATATTAAACTTCTACGGAGTAAAATAGCAGACTTATTATGAAAAATCAATTTGAACAAACCTGATTATTTCGGGATGTTTCAATCCAGATGTGTCACCATTGAAAATAATGATTAGATACATGAGAATAATGACATTTATATCATTTCTAAATTGATCGGGAAAGGTTTCGATTACATAAACAATGGCATCGTGTAAGAATGGATTAAAGAGAAATGCATCACGTCGATCAAATTTGAAATCAGATGCTGGAGCCTGGATAATGAAATGAATCAATCAGTTAGTATAAAAGGTATATGAATACAATATGCATTATTAAAAGGTCAAAAGCTAAGGTTACTTACATCCCAGCCGTCAATTGTAGGATCGTAGTTAACAATACCGTCCATTGCGTGAAGATGATAATATATGTTGGATAAAAGAGTTATTTTATCGCTGGTCTCGATTTTTCTGAAACTTTTGATTCCATTACATATTGAAATGAGCTTATCTGGACTTGCTTTTGCTCGCCTCCTGTCATTTAAATTTGCAAGCAAATTCATGCATTTCTGACCCTTAAAAGCCGCACAAGCTTCATTTATTAATAGTGTTTCATATCCATTTAGTTTAGTATCATCAGATAAATATTCACTTTTCAAACTTAATGAAGAAAAATAAACAGACAGAATTTTTTGACTAACATCAGGATTCCAAGGCTCATCAACTTCACTGTTATCCGTGTTTAGTGATAAGCTCAATTTATATCCACGTTTAACGAGCGCGATAAAATTCAATTTCAGATTATCGTAAGTGTTGTGAATCCTGGACTGGTATAGAAGATCGATGGCCAGTGGATCAGTAGATTCGTATGATGAGATAGAAGTTGGAACTGGGGCTGGTTAGTAATGAAATGTGGCATGATAAGAGATAACCTTAAAAATCAACTTCAATAAGATGAACTTACATAAGGTTTCAATAGTAGTCAGGCTATCGGATGGGCTTTTTGGGTCATTAAAGCTGGACCGATTTTCTGCGAAAGAATTAAGAGTTCCTTTTGGTAAGTTAAGCATATTTTGTCCTTTATTGTTATGACTATTCAATTGATCATCAGCTATTAAGTAACTTTTAACAGTATCTTCATCGGAACAAACAGCTTTCAAAAGAGCTAAGCTTTGGTTTGAACATGGAGATTGAGGTAATGGTTGAACGGTTAAAGTGTCACATTGCGAAGCATAATCTGTATTCAGTGTTGGTAAATCTAAAGATGATTGAAGGAATGAAAAAAATTGATCGAAATCCATCTTTTCACCGCAATAATTCACTCAAACATTAAGATTAACAAAATCATTACAAACGCTAATAACTCATGAACCCCAGGTGATTCTTTTTGCTCTAAAAAATTGTAGGATTAATATATTTCTCCCTTTATCTTCACCTAATTGTAACCGTGTTCATTAGTATCTTTGCTTATTCGCTCTTTTATCTCAATCAGATATTGAATGAGGGTTGCTCCAAATAAATATGATAAGTAATAGGATGTTCATGCATGTGTTAAATCTCTACATTGAAGATATTCTGAAATCGAAATTTGGTCAACTCAACTTCATTTTTTGCAACAATCGAACAATCAAATCAATTGAATCTTATTATTATTAATAATTTTGCGATCATCTCTCCATTGGTCTGGAAAGTTTTCAATTATTTGTTCAATATTATTATAAGCCGTCTGATTAAACTTATCTTATGCAACTATGAAACTGAATGCAAAGTGAAAATAGAGAGCAAATGTTGAAAAGGTTGGAGCAATTATTAGTTTGATTACTTACTTGCCAACCATCAATTGTTGAATTATAGTTGATTATTTCCTTCGTGATGAAAAGATCATAAAATGTGTTTGCTAAAACCAGAAATATATTACATCTTGCAAATTTCCTGAAAAGCAACTCATTTTTTTATAAAATAACTTCATTTTCCCATAGACCATCGGAAACAGTAAGAAAGTCAGTTTGATGAAAAATCTGACTCCACAACTGTACAAAAGGCGCTACTCAACAATGACACTTCGATTTACGGATAAGTTACGATGAAGTAATAGAAGCATTTGATTCACAAATATTCACAAAAATAGTTACATTTATTAATACTAATAAAATATTCAGTGAGTTTCAATCTGTTGTACAGATTTAGTTATCTTGAAGCGTAGATACAACATCAATGATAGTTGCTTTTAATGGATTACATTACAAACTGTAACATTTATCAAATATAACTTCTCTTTCCAAGTAATTTTATTGATAATCGTGTGAGATCAGTCAAGTAAAAGATCAAAGTTCTGTTTACAATAAGACAAGTTGATGAAAAGGTTTTGTTGATGAATCAGATTATCTGAGGAAAATTAATCACCTCATTGAACTTTGGATGAGTTTTGTAATGATATTTTTCAGAAGCGAAGAAGCACCAGTTTTGAAAGCCTCAAATAGATTGACAATATTATTCCGTAACTTTTGAATCTCATCGATTTTGACCATCAATCTGTATAAATTGTCCGAAGCATCACTGGGTGATTCACAGACTGATTCAAGGTATCGTCCAAGTAGATAAATATAACTATATTGTTCCAGTCTAATGATAATAAAAAGAAAAGGTTATTAAATTTTGACTAAAGCAATTGTTTTGATTGATAAAATCTAGCGCATTTCAAGTTATTCATGGTTTTAGTCGGTTGAACATTCACCTAACAACATCAACGTATTTCAAATTAGGTAGATCAGGATTGAAGATGACAATTAGATAGATGAGAGCAATAGCTTTGAGATCATTTCTCCATCGATCTGGAAAGGTTTCGATAACATGTTTCAATCCATCGTGTGCTTCAGGGTTTGAATGAAAAACATCCACCCTGTCAAGTCTTGCCCCAGAACACTGTAAAGAAAAGAATGGTTGGAATTATAAATGGATTGACCAACACTACCACAATGGGATACTCACGTTGAAGCTGTCGGTTCGATGGTCATATGTGATTATACCCTTCATTGCATTGATATCAAAAAATACATTGGATAATAAAGTTATTTTATCTTCAGCATGTAATTTCCTGTAAGCTCGAACCTTCTCACAGGTTCCAACAAACTCTGTTGGACGAGGATCAGGTTTCACCTGATTTCGAAGTGAAATTGTCACATTACTTGAAGCAATATTGTGAAAGGCATTAACTGCTTCCTTCACCGCAAGTGATTCAAATTCATCCAAGATTATTCGATTTGACAAAAATTCTGATTTAATATTCAATGGAGAGTAATAAGTAGCCAATATCTTCTTTCCCACACTGGGGATCCAGGGTTCCTTCAATTTTGAGTTGTCAACATTCAATGAAAGTATCTTTTTGAATTTATCACTTGCAGTCTTTGAGACAGGCGACTGTAAATCATAACAGTCATTTTCAAAAGGTTCATTTGTTTCAATCTCATCGTAAGACTCACATGTTGATGTTGAAGGTGCCTCCAGTGGAAAAGCAAAGTTAAACAGATCTGTCGATGGAGACCCGATCAGATCAACCGTTAAGCTATCTGAAAAAATGCCAATCCAATCTGATGAAATGCATGATAAGGTTTCTTGTTGAATGGATTGTTGATTGTGGGTTTCACTGTTTGAAACACAACTCAGTAATGGATCGTTGTGAACTCTATTATCTGTTGAATGATTCCTCGAAGAATCGTCCAAATAAGATCGCAGAGTATCATCATTGTAAGAGAAAACATTTACTGTTGACTCCGAGTGGAATGGCAATGAAGTCGCTTGATCTGTATAGTCCATTGTTAGATGATCAGTCAAACATGATTCACCATGAACAAATTGGTTTAAATCTACAAAGTCCATTCTTTTATTTTAATTTAATAAACAAATTAACCTAGCGTTTTAAAACATATAATTTTTAAAGGTTGATGCACATTAAACGATCACTAACTAATGATGTTTACTTTGATCCTGAAAGACAAGACAATCTTGAATGATGTTCAAGGGGAGCTTATCTTCCTTGTTTAGTTTGCGATCTTTGCACTTTGCTTAATGATCACAACACTGAAAAGTATTACGTCTTTTTTGGTTTACATGATTGAGTACAGCACAGAGATATACAATCGCAAATAATAACCGATTTTTCATCATCTATGAAAAGACTATTTTTACGAAATGCAAAGCAATTAGGTTTTAACGCTATTGTCCATTCAACATATAAATATCAGAATAACGGAAAGAGAGTAAAATCAATGCAACTGGCTAGCCTAACAAGGGAGACTCTCGAATTGGTAAATCGATAATTGGTTATGATTGATTTTTTTAGTTATAACAAGTGAAGCGATTTTAAAGAAGCGAAAATAGTGAAACATTGACAAAATATTATTAAATTATCTGATTAATGTTGGTGTCGCTAGAGCAATAGTCAACGATATTGTAGCCAGTGTAGTAACGCAAGTTGGTGTGATAACAAAGAGGTCCAGGAAAGTAAAGCCAACATCAGCACGTTCAATACGAGCGAGGAAAATGTGAACCTGATTTTGGTGGATAAACAAGAAAAGATGAATAAATAGAAATGATTGAATTTAATAATTACCTCTTTATTTGCAAACAATGAATCAGTTTTAAATGTAAGTGAATAAACTGATTGATAAATTCGGGTTGAAAGGTGATTAATATAGACCATATAATAGGTTATGAGGATAAAATTTGCGATTTCCACCAAACTCATTATCAAAGTTACAAGCGATGGAGCCGAAATTGCGAATACAAACGAGTAATGACTTTTAACGGTACTGATCACAAAATAAAGAGCTGTAATTGGCATGAATAAATAATTAAACTTTTCTGTCGTTTCAACGGCAATGCAATACAATCGACGAACTTTCCGAATGTCATCGATAGACAAGGCACTTGTTGACTTGTTCAAGGTTTCTATTTGGTGTTCAACTCGCATGAAACAGGTATGAATGTAAAGACAGCCTTCAATAAAGAAACGAAGGAAAGCAAAGTAACACGAGATACCAACAAGTGCTGCACCAAAATAAGTAACAAGAAAATAAGTCAATGACATGTCAAAAGCGTTGCACCAAACCCCATATGTCAACCAAACGAAAAATAAAAAATGGATGAAAGTGTATATTTGAAAGATTATGCGATTCTTATTTAGATAATTAACTGATAAAGGTGTCAACTCGATGTTTGTCTTGCGTTCAAAATGAGTCATAAGATCGCTGTATTTTTTCCTACGAACACAAAGTAGAACAAGTAAGAAAGCACAGGTCCATTGTCGAATAGCAAGTATTACCACACGTGCAATATGATAAGTGCCCGAAAAAATATAAAGATCTCTGAAACATATTAGACCATCAAACGCAAGTGCAAATGCGATGATTAGAATGATAACTTTTCGATCAGACAGAAGCGCCCAAGTAATTATTCCGGCTTTTGAAGAGCGATTCAGTACATTCTCATTGGATCTATCCATTTCGTTGAAACTTTTTTCAATATTTATCTCACGTCAGTTTCACGAACTGCTTTTCAACCGTTAGATTCGAGACAAACTGATCAAGTGAAACTCGCACGATTTCCAATGAATCGGGTTGAAGGGTGTTGTGTCTAACTAAGTTAACTTCCTATTGGTTGATTAGTACCAGAAATCATGCACAATAAACAATCGTAAACAATAATCAAATACAATAGACATTAGATGAACATGGAAAAGTTGAATATCATGACATTTGAATTGTATTATAATAATAAAAAGTTAAAACTGTAAATGAATCATTTAGAAATAGTGTCTCAATCAATCATAAGTTTCATGGAATATAATAAGAAAAGATTTGATTAATGATTAATCGATTTGACAATTTTAATTTAATCAATTTTTTGTACAAAAGTTTAATAAAAGTTAGCCTGAGCCTTGTAATCACCGTCTCTGTGTCACTTCAATAAAATGCAAAATTAGGTTTCTTCTTAACTCAAAATCAAATGACCAACTGTAATAATCGGAAATATCTCATTTACTAGAGGCTGCAGTAAGCATGAATGATTGCATATTTATTTCCACTGAGTACAGTGAATTCAATCGAAATTTAAAGACTCAAACTTACAATGAAAAAACCATCGTCAGTGACTTTCTCAGTAACCTGTATTCTGCTTTAACTCTGATATTTTTGTAATTGTAGTTCAACTATTGATTTCATGCTATTATTAATTCATTAATATATAAAAATTTTCATTGAACTCTGTTCAGTTTTTTCACAATTTTCCACAAAAATTTCATGTTTCATGCAAATGGTGAATAAAACATTCATAGATGCTTTTGGCTGCCGACAGTATATTGCTTAGCCAATGAATGCTATGGCTTTCAAAGGAAATGCCTTGAAGGTTGATACTTGATCAAGATGAGATAATTTTCAAAATTAATTCAATAATACTGTTCATCATCTGTTGATCACTTTTTCACATGCGATCTGCTCCAACTCAACTCAAAACCAATTAAGTTGACACAAAAATTGAAGCGTATTATTCCTACCGAAGAATGTATATCAGCAAAAAAGGAATATCCATTGAGCTTACAAGTTCGCTCAAATGACATTTGAAATGCTATTTTCCGGAGTTCCAATCATCATCAAGGAAAGCTGTTTAACAAGCTTTTTTCGTAACAGTTTGACCTGATCAATTTTAGCCATCAACCTGTAATGGTTGTCTGAAGCTTCACAGTCGGAATCACAAACTGTCTTCAAGTAACGTCCAAGCAAATATACATAAGTTAGTTGTTCATATCTGTAAAAGAAAAAATAAAATTAAAATTATATAATATTAACATTAATCTGAACTCTAATAACATTGAAATAGAGAAACACTAACCTAACAATCTCGGGATGCTTCAGATCAGGTAGATCAGGGTTAAAGATTATTAACAGGTAAATAAGCAGTACAGCTTTGGGGTCATTTCTAAATCGATCTGGAAAGGTTTCGATGATATGCGTTAGACCATCATTCAAGAATCGGTCAAAAAGAAATACATCTCTTCGATCAAAAGTCAATCCAGATTCTGGAAACTAAAATAAGAGTAAAAAAATTGTAACCGCAAGATTGAAGCAATATTCAGCTTGACTACTTACTTCCCAACCATCAATTGTTGGATCGTAGTTGACTATTCCTTTCATGAGGAAGAGATCATAAAATGTGTTTGATAAAAGAGTTATTTTGTCACATCTATCAAGTTTCCTGAAACCTCTGATTCCATTGCACATCGAAGCAAGTGCATTTGGATTTGCTTTTAGTTTTGAATTGCTTTTGTCGGATAAGCTTAACGTTAAATGAAAATTTGTTTTACCCTGAAAAGCAGTAATTGCTTCATCCATATATAATCGTTCAAAGCGATCCAATGTTAACTGGTTGGACATGTATTCAGACTTTAAACTTATCGAAGAGAACTGAGTCGCTAATATCTGCTTAACCACATTTGGATGCCATGTTTCAGTCACCTGAGAATTGTCTGTGTTTAATGTTAGTGTCAACTTGTATCCATGTTTAACTAAAAGTATAAAGTTCAACTTTAAATTTTCGCGTCTAGTGTTAGGGACAAGTTGACGATTAGATAGAATGTCTGGTAAATTATTGCCACTCGATTCTTGTGTTGAAGTTGATAAAAGTTCTGTTTTACTTTGGTCATGGATTGACTGATCCAACTCCATATCTGAGCAATCGTTTTGTACAATTTCCATGGTACTCGTTAGTAAGCTAGAAAACTGTCGACAGGAATAAGCTGATGGCTCATCACATAAATAATGTTTGATTGTTCCCTCATCAGGTATAAGAGTCCTTAATAAACTATTGTTTTCATTTGGTGATTCTTGAAGTTCACTTTCCATCGGGTCGGAAAATGATTCACTCGGTGTGAAAAACATGGTGAGAGTTGATCAGAAAATAAGCAAAAGATGTTCACTGAAACAAAATTTACGATGAAAATCAAAAAATTAAGATTAAACAAATGTTTTGCAGCTCAAAAAATGGCTTGGGTTCAAAACAGCAAAAGTCAAAATAGCAAAGGACAAAACAGTAAGATACATTTTTATTCATGCAATGATTCACCAGTAGTCAGGTTAGTTGCTTATTTTGCCTGCATTTTCATTTATTATGGTTTACAGATTAATTCTGTTGATTGTAGTTGCTCTTTTTGTATAATCATTAATCATCATCAGCATAAATCTTCTTATCAATCTTTATGAACATATTATCTGTCTATTCATTGCTGCATGTAAAACTAGAATGTCAATAAGAAACTATCAATGAGTCAGGTTTACAGATCAGGTAGATAATAATAGAAAACAGTTTTAATGCTGACTTTTTTCTAATAATTCACTGGCACATTTTATTCTGTTATCCAGTAAAAGAAAGAGAATAGAAAAATAAACAAATTTAATTTAGCATCGATTTGAACAAAACATTTCCAATCATTTTGACGATAAAATCAACAATTTATTGATTTGAGTTTTCATCACAAACTTGCATTAATAATAAAAAGCCATTCTCATAGATTATATGGAAACCAGGTTAAAGAGGATCAAAAATTCACCATTTTGAACACATGTACAAGATTTACATGATAACTTGATCCAGATAAGTCTGTTTACTTTTATGACATGGTGGATGAAACAATCACAATTGTTTCACACCCAATTTCATAATGATTTGCTGCAGCCTGAACAAGTTAATAAGGTATGACTTATTGAAAAAAATTCGCAACAATTGTGACAAAAATTTGAAACGAAATTGGAGTCGGCCACCCTTGTTATCCTGGTAATGCTAAAACAACGAGTTCTTTCAAACATTTCATTTATTTGTTGATTAAAATTTGTTAATCTTTTTAGGATTTCTTCAACTTCTTAAGCTGTATCTTATTCCATAGCTCAGCACTTATGTGAGATTACATGATGTGTTGGTGTTTGTCTACTTAACCAAGAAGAATGATGTTGAAAGAGTAGTTCAACTCCTGCTACTCTCATATGAAGGTTGATTAAAAGCAAATTAATCTGATGGAATCGCCGTCAAGGTAACGTTCAACTTGTGACAGTGTGCATTAATCTTTTTATTTGTTCTTTGTTTTTGCATGAGTTAATCCAAAAATTTATTGCTCTAATCAAATGAGCATTAAATACTGATTTATTGCGTCTTTAGTTGAATCGGGCGTAAAAGAATAGCAAAACTGTATCTTTCAAATGTAATTAATAGTTATCTTCATGTTTATTGGTTCATATTACATTTTAACAATTAACTGATAGCTACAGATCAAATTTCACTAATTTCACAGAAAACATTACAATGATTAATAATACTTTTGGTACTTTGGTCCATATTATGATGATCTTGTTTTGATTCCCAAAAGCATTGAAACGGGTCTATTCACAAAAGATCCAGGCATAGGGTCAATTTGATTTGCATATTTATCTGAAGTAAAAACTTCGAAGCTACGAACAAATCTAGCCAATGTAAGCTTTGCATTTGTTAGAGCAAATCTCATTCCGATGCAAGTCCGAGGTCCTGCACCAAATGGTAAGAAAGTAAATGGTTTGGGTGAGCCTTGTAGAAATCTGTTTGGATCGAAAACTTCTGGTTCAGGATAATTCTCTGGATCATGGTGTATTGCATATGTCGGTATACTAACTGGTGTGCCTTTCTTAATTTGAACATTAATACCTGGTAGAGTGGTATCAGAATGGCAAACACGTTGAAACAATAAAATTGGAGGATCCATTCGCAATGTTTCCTGTATCACAGCATCCAAGTAAGAAAGACTTTGTAAAACTTCGTAATCTTCAATGTTAGCCTGTGAAACCTCTTGATACAACCTTTCTTGGATATCTGGGTTGGTAGCAAGTCTATAACAGGCCCAAGTCAACAGGGTTGATGTCGTTTCCTGACCGGCTGATAGGAAAAGGACGGATGAACAGACGATCTCATCTGGAGTCAACTTCTTGTCTTCATCCTTTAACTTTTCCCCATCTTGGGTATCCGCTTCAGATTCAATCATTAATTGGATGAAATCATTGATTTTGTTTTTACCTTGTTTTCGTTGTTCAATGACAGCGTAAGTTAATTGTTTGATCTTATTTATATTTTCAACTGAAATTGAACTCATGTCGAGAAGTCGAACCAACCATTTAGGAGCCCACGCCATGAAGAGATGCTTATACTTGTTACTAGAATACGTTGAGTTGAAGAGTTCAAGTAACTTGTTACCCGACCTGTTGTAAACGTCTAAATTTAAAGCGAAACAACACTTTGCTATAATATCTAAATTGTATGTACTCCAAAATTGTGCGGGATTCAAGTCTGGTTCACTCGAAGAAGCCAATTTGAGCAGCTGTTTTTGAGCTTCGTCATTACAAACTTTAATCAAGTCAAACATTTTCTTGATCTTTGCCGATGAAAAGGTCGGTGTAAGTATACTTCTTAAGCGTTTCCATTTTTGTCCATATAAAACTGTTAGAAAATTTCGTTCAATTGAAGAGACGAAAACTTGGTTAAATCCTTGAGGGAAACTGTGAAAATCTTTGACGCAAACAGCTCGAAGTAAATCTGGCTCAGCCAAGACCAACGCTGGATTTAAACCATTATAAGTTCTGTCGTAAATAAAACAAGAATAAAAATTTAAAATCAAATTCTTTAAAATTTTCTCAACCTTTTCTTACCCATAAATTTTTCCATAAGTTTCGACACCTTCAAGATAAACTTTCGTCAATGGTTTCGGTTTAGGTTTCGGTGAACTTTTAGTTAAAATACTCGGAATCATGGAAGGAGGTTCTGGTCCTTTGACACCTTGTCGTTCCCAGAACGATCGTTTACGCTTAACATAGCTAATGATAGGTAATAATAGATGTTAGTTGCAGTAAAATATTAAAAACAACTTCCAATGTTAGGTTGAAGTCAAAGCAAATGCAAGAAACTTACAAAAAATACCAGCTAATGAAACTTATTGTACCAAGAATAATCCATTGAGATGTGGATAAATCAATAAAGTTGTTCATTTTAGCTGAATTCTTCACTTAAACTAGAATAAATTAGTTAACTGTTGTTTATGCGATGAGATGGTTACACTGATTGACAATAAACAAGGTAAATTAAATGCTTTTATTTATAAAAAATGAAAATGTTAATATTCTTGGAAATGTTAGACTAAGACTATTCCGTGCATAAAATGAGCTGAAAATTTTACTTTTTGATAACATGAAAGGGTTCTAGCTGTTGGTAGCATCAATGGTTTGCTAGACCTTACATTTTTCCCAATAAATTTCACTGTATTCAAGAGAATTGCTCCCATTTCATTAGATTAACAGGATAAAAATGATCAAATGATAGTTAAGGGTAGCTTGTGTACAAACTAACAGATGAATTCTTGGAAATTCTTCTTAATTTGAGATGAACTTGGAACAAATCAGCCTTAGTACATTAACAGTCTCGACAATGGTTTAGTCTGTTAACATTTATTGCATCTCGATCATAAAACTGCACAAATAAGCTTCTATAAATTAAATAGATTAATAGTTCTCAAGCATCATTTTGTTTTCCATCACAAATAAATGTCCACTTCAACGCGATCCACTCCACTCTGAAACAAATTGCTTTTTAATTGTGAATAGTTTGCCATTTTATTTCGTAAATAATGGCAAAAATTAGTGCCAAAGAGATTTTTAATTTTGTTAAACTTCTTCGAATTGATTTATTCTTTTTTTTCGCAACTCTCAGTACTTCACTGCCAAATCTAGCTCTTGATCAACTAAGACAGATTGTCTTGAGGAGGGTCTCCAGAATTTTTCACTTTTTTATCATAGGAGTTAAGGACTCAACTTTTTTTCTGGATAGAGTTTAACATGCTGAGTTCAAAAATTATTTCAATTTTAGATCAGCGGTTTCTGAGTTATTTGAGGTCAAGTGCGCAACTTTCGAGACCATTTGAGAATCGATAGATCTTCATGAGGCTATCGAATTGTGTATGAAAATTTTATTTATGTATCATAGTTTTCGGTTAAACCGCCTAACACTGAAAACCGGTGATGAATGTGAACCACATTAGAAAAGGTATCCGAGTTTATCAAAGTTCGAAGAAAATTGGACTTATAGTTCGGTCTTAAATGGTCATTTGTTGACTTGTTCAAGGTGTCTAGTTCTTGACTTGTTCACAATGTCAAGATTGGTGAACAATTTTTATTAATTTATTGAAAGTTTACTTTGAACATCATAATGAGGCAAATATTTTCAATTACATACTGGAAGTAGAAATGCAAAACTCCAGTTAAACTAATAATATAAACCAATAATCAGTTGATACTCACAATTACAAAAACTTTCTAAGTCATATCCAGAAGTTCACCGAAAGTAAATGCTATATCAGTCCTTGAGAGCCGGTCTTGCAAATCAGTTCCCTGGAAATCAAGAGTTAATTCAATTATCCATCTTTTTATGGAAATATGAAACATTCTATAATAATATTACCTTTATAGAAGCTCTTGCACTCAACTGCAAACATCTAGTCGCCTTCCTTAGGTTTTTACAATAAGAGCTCATCTAAAAGGGTAAATTGAATCAAATTAAAAGACTGAGACAACAGAAAAGAAATCCTTTTATACTTTCGTCAATATAACTCCATTGGTGTATGAACAAACTCCGATGGCCACAACGCCAATACTCGCAACAATCACAATGAAAATGTCCATAAATTGATCAATGTGAACAAAGATTACAATGTAGGCTCCGAAATCTGCAGCAGCCGAAAGTCCGATGTGAGAATATGAGCAACAAAAATATGAGCCAGTTTCTTATGTTTACATTAAGTTCTTCAATTTCATTCTGATATTGGATCATCTCACTAACAATAGTTTTATAATGAAGCATATATTCAGCCTTATTCATGTGTCCTCTTCTAGTCACGAGACCTTCTGCAGTCCGGGTTACATGAGCAGCTTTAAAGTAAAAGTAAGACAAATGAATTGTTACTAGGGCACCAGGCAATATCGTATTGTATAAAGTAGAAACAATTCGTATGTAATTGACGAGAATCCAAAAGCTATTGTAGATGAACTGAATGGATGTTTGCGGTAGTTTATTCGTTGAATTTACAAAGAAGATTAAGATTGGTCCAAAAGTAATCGCAATAAAATAAACAAACCAAAGCCACGCATTTGCTAAATTTATGGCAACAAAACGAAACTTTTGGCAATAACATTGATGAATCCCTTTTGAATCCTTTTTCATATATTAAATTGTACAATTTATACACTCTATTTCAAAAGTTTGGTCCGCAAATTCATTTGCAATTTTCTTGCTAAATATTTAAGTTAATTCAAATATTTTTACAAAATAAATAGATTGCATTGAGGCAATTTATATGATGAATCATATTTTTGAAAAAATAAATTCTTAACAATTAAAATTGATTTTGAAAATTTTAACATTGAAATGAATTTTTCAAAAGTTTGGTCCATGTTTGGTTATCTAATTAATGAGTGCACAAAATTGCTTGAAATTTTAATAAAATCTTCCTCATTTGTATGCAGTTGATTCATTAAAATTTTAGTCTTTTAGCATAATTCTGAAAAAAGTTATTCAAATTATTGTTTCATAATGGATTTCTATGGAAATTTCAGTTTTTTCGCGATCAAACCGAAATCGCAACTGAATTATTGACTTGATTGCGCTCAATCTTATACACATAATAGCTGCCAGTATTGTATGAAGCCTCTACAGAAATCTAGCATCAAGAAGCTCGGTTATTGAACGAATGCGAGTGAATGGTCTCATAACTAAATTCAGTAATTATTTTTTGGT